TCTTAGTCTTAGTCTTAGTCTTAGTCTTAGTGAGATGGTTATCCCATATGAAGAAAAAGTACAGTTTGTATTCGTTTTCTTGCCTAACTGTTGCACGTGCCGGGTCATGTTTCATGCATGTCCACCAGCAAATCCAGCTGGGCATGGACAGCAACCATGTACTTGTGGATTCGTTATGTTTAGTAGTATATAAACATTTAGCATGGATGATATTTAAATGTGGTTTGTGGTGTCAAGTCGTGTATTCCTCATGTGGTTCGGTCTGCCCTGGGGCTGCTGAGCCAACCCCCCTTACATCCCGGCTTGTTGAACATTTGGAATGATTTTTCTTTCCTAGCACTTTGTAGCCCCATGTCATCTTGGACTTGCAGCATCATATCAGGGGTCCATTGGCTATGGTAGCATGAGCACTGTGTCATATTTTTAGCATGTTCTTATTGCCCTATGGCATAAAACGGGGGGTAATCCCCTCTTAAGTATAACCCAGGGCGTAGGGGTAGGGGTTACCCATGTGGCTATGTACGAAGGGAGGTGGGTAACCTAACCCCGGGGTAGGGGTAACCCCTTACCGAGGGGTAACAAAGGGGTCGGGCTAATACACTACTGATGGGTAACAGACAGGGTAACCCATGTTTACATTCACCTGCGCCTGTCTACACACGCAAACATACATGTCTTCACCAATCACTTGTGAATGCCCAATTATCAAGATTGCTGCACCAAAACATGCCTTGTTTAGAAACCTAAACCTAAGGATATGGCACACAGCTGCAGCCTAGATGCAAGGAGGCGGACGAACAGGCGTACATAGGCGGAGCAAATTGGGGACCACGAGAAGCCGCCAGCAAAGCTAAAAATATTCCTATCAAAAAATCCAGGCACTTATCGCTGCTGCTAAAACTTGCAGAGCAGCCAACGGGCTGCAATGTAAGGTCGGCCAGTAGCTTAAGTGCTCCGTCTCGACCTGCTAATTCCAGCTCTACACACGACCTATGCAACACTATCCAGAGTCTGCTCGTTTTCAGAGCAGATTCTCCTAAGAGTGTCGAGGGGTTGCGTGGGTGGGAGATCTGGATGTTTGACCCCGAACACGGTCACACCCGGCGAAGTGTAAGGCGCCCTTCCGGGTAAAAATCCTCGGATGTCACTGGATGTCTTGTTAAATGAGGTGCACCACAAGTGTGGGCCTGTGCTGCAGAAAGAGTCAACGGTCTTGTCGTGGTGGTCTGCACGTGCAAACGATAGAACACCACCATTTTTGCCGCCATATGCACCAGTATTGCAACGTGGATTATAAGTGTGCAAAGTATGTATGGTCAATAGGAACACTGCTGGCAGTGAATATGATTGTCTGAATTGGTGATAGTGGTCATCGCGTTTTTTAGCATGTCCGTCTAGTTAAAATACCAGCCATGAGTGTGCATTACATGAGCTTACAAGCAAATTAGCTGTGATTAAGCTTGGATGTGCTCGTTAGGAGTATCAGTGGAGGCAAAAGCAGCATGCACATATGTGTACGACCATCCCCGGCCCGGTAATATGTTGGCCGACCTCAGGACTGATTGCCTGATGTTTTCACAATGCAAACTATTATATAACAATCGATGACAACCAAAGGCATCCATTTAGTGAAGACCTGTCGTCGACTTGTGTATATGCTGCCAGCATTCACGCCTTCTCCTGTACTCATCTACAAGCTCCTGCTTTACAGCAGCCAAATAGGCCATGAGATAGGTATTTATTGCTTATTCCTTGCGTGTGTGATGCCAGCATTAGAGACCTTAAGGTTGAACTGGCAAACAATGCTTCCCAAGATACCACAATACTGTAGGTTGCTAACGTTTACATTTTAAAAAGTATCCTTCAGCGGAATTTACGGTGTGGGATGCATATAAGACGAGTAGCCTATAGGCCCATACATATGTCCACAATCCAGGGCAACGGAGGGGTTTACCCTGGGGTCATGTTACCCCTCCTGCTGGGTAGGAACTTACAAGGGGGTTACCAAAGGGCTACCGGGGGTTGAAAATGGGTAACCCATGGGTTACTGCCCCAATCAGTGCCTTAGGGTTGCCTGCATGCTAATGATGTGTCCTGTAGGAATATGCCAAGCAAGCTGGCCTGAGGTTATGGATGGGCCCCTGGTCCTATGTGGAGCTGGAGGCAGCACGTGGCATCATGTTCTCTTCGGTCAGCAAAGCTAAACTGTCAGAGCTGTATGCTCGGTGGGGCGGCATCCCACGTTACGTCCTGAAGTACGCAGCCAACCCCGAACTGCAGGAGGAGCTTGATGCAGCGGTGGCAACCGTTAATATGGATCTCTTGTGGAAATCCGTAGGCAACATTGAAACTGCACCGGATGTCAGCCACAAACTGATCCACGTCGAGGTAGGTGTGAGGTCTTCTCTATTTGACCATTAGCAGATGTGGCTCCAGGCAGAGAGTACTCCCAACTGGGAGATG